AAAAGCACATTTTCCATCTGAAAATTAGCACTGTTTACACTTAATTCGCTTATTCTATCCCGATATAACGCTCTAGACACCTTTTATAGATACAAAACCCTTGCGAAAGACATAATCAAATGAAAAACCCGATCGGGATTACTATAATAGTTGAGCATCGTCCTAACATGCAAGGAGCAAGAATGCTCACAAATATACAAAACTTGAATCTCATATTCGACTCCAACCATGAACGCACAATGGCCGTCCTGGCAAAAAAACCAAATTTATTTATTTATTTATTATCCCTCTCTTGTTCTGGGCCCTCACCAGGCTTGCGCCCAATTACAGACTGTCTGGCATGACGCTTTTTAGAGGTGCCTCTGCAGAAGGTCTTAAGTTGTTCTACACTACTCCGGTATTTACCTTACGAACTAGGAAAACTGCAGGAAAACGTAATTCGGAGTAGCCGGCAGAATGCCAGAAACTGATCTAAGGAAATTCCTATCTCTGTCACAGATGAAAAATTCTTACCCAGCCCAGGTTCCAACCCGACCTTTGGCTTTATAGTCCAACGCTCTATCATTGCCAACCACCTCCTTCAACCACTTAAGGGAATGGTTGTACACGAGATTCTTACGATCTCGCCCGAGTTCCTCCAACTCCTGAAGGTGGGTGCTAGTGTAGCGCCTTTTAGGGCAAACATATAATGGTCCAAAACTTTGGCCAGGTGATGACCATATCCGTCTACTAAGAGGGTTATTGGTATCTATGATCGCGACTTTTAGACAGCTTCCACTATTACGAGTCGCCTCGCACGACGCAAACACGAGTGTGTTGTCTTTAGTCTGCCGAGGATTGCACGAAGGACTTTTTTCTGTGCCACTTTGAACGACAGAGACTCAAAATGTTGTTCTAAACTCTAATTTGGTTGAGGAATCGGTTAAATGCTATGGTAGAGAACACAAAATTGACTGTGTTAGCAGCCATGGGGCTGTCATTTAATATGTGCAAGTGTAAAAAAACGGATTGCGCGTGCCAACTTTTTTGAGATTTTGATTTTTAAGCTTTCTGAGAAAAATTGACCTAAACAGACACTAAGTACACTTGCACGTCTGTACGTTGTAATTAAATTGAAGTAAAATCAAGCTTTGGCACAGTACAACCCAGGGGTGCAAGTAGTTAATTAGGTTAAAATAGAAAATTTGCGATTGGTCGGTAAACAAATTCTGTAAACGTTTTCAGTTCGATGTATAAATTACAATAAAGCTGCCAATATTTATTCCCGAACGAGCAATTTCCTGGCACATCATTTAATCATTGATTAAGTTAGTAATTCTATTCTATTATTGAAAGCTTCGAACGCGTTTTTCATTACCTTCTGAGTGACTTGTTTTGTAACGCAATGACAGAGGGCCATTTTTCTGGATGTTTCCATAAAAAGAACAATGGACGCGTTTCTAATTAACATGCAGAAAGAGAAGGGCCGTTAAACAGTAAAGCGACGGTAGCTGAAAAATCAGTTTGTTTAGGTAATTAAGGTGAGATTCCATGTTTTCTGTCAAGTTAAAGTTACGGAAAAGAGAGGAAAGTTTGTGGGTATAGCGTCAGAGAGAAGATTAAGTGGTTAAAGTCACCCCTTCACGGCAGTATTCATTTACTAATCCAATCTACACTGGCAAAGTACACTTTCAGCATGTAACCCTTAATTGGAGCTGTATTAAATTTTGTCCGTTGCTGACGTCGTCAATATGTGAGCTGTGAAATCGTTTCTAATCGAAACTCCAAATTTTTTTATTTCCACCCTTACAAATGAATGTGCGTGATATCAACTACGCTCACGGATTATAGACTTCGTAGGACGTCGGTAACCATTTCTAGAAATCGTGTCGATGCTTTTTCCAAATGAAAGCTTTTATTCTCACCGTTACAATTTTGTTGAAAGCAATCTTAGTCTTTTTTGTATCTGTTCAATACACGATTGCTCAATTGCTTTCCCGATGAGGGCACGCATTTTTAATTATACGATTGCAATTCATCGGGTTTCAGTAAGATCCCTTTGAGAATGAATGCGAATTAGACGGAGTTAATCTCATTTAGATGAAAGATTTTGTTCATGGGGATGAAACCAAACAATTGTTGCATAGGTCTTGAACTATTAATCATGTTTTCACGACGAGTGTGAGTTACACGTTTTTTTCGGAAACCGTTCAGGATGATTTTATTAAACTTTCCACATAAAGGTAAGACTAATTTTCCGATCCGATTACATTTTGTGAAGGCGAAGGGAACTATTAAACAATTGTGGATCGAGATCGAAATGTCGGCAAATTTAGTAAACAAAAATGCGCACATATGCATATCATTTAATACTTCTCTTAATTTTTTGTGTTTTTTTGGTACAGTGTTTTTGGAAAAATGGTATATGGTATCATAAACATTCATTTTACATCCTATATTATCTAAACAGAATGTTTCACAAGGAGTGCATGAATAGTTTTGGTATCATCAAAGATGGAGATTTGACTAAATGCGCCATGTTTTGCGTTAAAATTTTACACCTTAGTAGCTTTGAAAGACGCACCTTCTCCATTTAACAATAAAGTCTATAACATAACAAGAACTGGTCCTTATAATTGTAGCCAAATAAAGAAAGTGAAGGAAATGAGGTACACAGTAATAATGAAGTATAAGCTGCATGTTTTATAGCCACATTTCTATCCCAAGGAAACACGAACATTTCCTAAGGGACTTTAAAACGCTTTTCTCTATATTATTCAAAAGTCGCAGATAGGTATACATATAATCGATTTAACAAGGGATAGACTGTACAGAATAGATCATCAATCGTGATGTGTTTATTATAAAACTAGAGGTGCAGACTAGGGAATGCAATACCGGGATTGCGGGATCCCGAAATACCGGGATCCCGCAGCATTTTTGCGAGATTAATCCCGCACATAAATGAAGCGGGATCCCGCGGGATTTGCGAGACTGAGGAATTTGTCGACCAAGGAGACGACTCTGTTTACTTTGTTAATGAAACTGATAACGGCGAATTATTTTTTAAATAATTGTTAAACTTTTTTCGTTAAAAATGTACTATGATTTTTGAGGCACTTTAGAAGACTTTTTGTGCTTTACAGGTAAGGTTTTTTTGAGTTCTAAGTTAGGCCGAAGGTACTTTTTTGTTAAATATTGTAATAATTAGCGATTTATTTTAATACAGAAGTTAACTGCACAGAATTGCTTATTTGCCAATTTATTTAAAGTTTTGCGAGATCCCGCAAATTCCGGGATCCCGCGGGATTAACATCTAACAATCCCGCAAATACCGGGATTGAGATTTTGCTGCGGGATTGCATTCTCTACTAGAAACCAATTTCGAAAGAAAATTCAAACTACTTTTGAACTAGTAGCCCAATCTTGGAACTGTTTGAAATTATGGATTCTACAGGCCGCATTCTATAAGAAAATTTTTTTTGCGGGTCGATCTGAGACAATTTTTTCTGAGGGCCTCAAAAAAGGCAGTGTACAACCTTCCTTTTTTACCAAAAATCAACTGCACCAAAATTTCTCGAGAAAACACTTTTTCTTGTTAATTTTGGTGCGTAGAATCCAAAACAATTCGTACTTTTTCGATCAGACTTCTCAATCAAAAGTTATAGACTGAAACCAATTTCGAAAGAAAATTCAAAGGGCTGTAACTTTTGAACTAGTAGCCCAATCTTGGAACTGTTTGAAATTATGGATTCTACAGGCCCATTCTATAGAAAATTTTTTCCCGGGTCGATCTCAGACAATTTTTT